AAAATTTTTTGCCTCTTCACAGGTCCACCATAAATGATAATATGTTCCATATACCGATTCACATTTCAGCATTTTGGGGAGGTATTTGTTGAGATTTTAGCTAACCTTGATGGTGCCAGGTGCCATTTGTAAAACATTTTGTACTGGTTTTCGTTGTATGGAACTGATAGTGTCATTTTTAAATTTATTCCCCCAAATTTTTCCCATCTGCCACTGTTCTGAGAGTTCTTGTCTCTCTTTTTTTCCCCAGAAATCCCGAGAACAGCTGGACTTGGCAACTTGCATTGGGGCATTTCCCGGCGGGGGTATTAAGCGCCGGTTTTCAGGGACTCCACTGCTCCCACCACTTGCCTGCCGCCATGCAACCATCAATGACCTCAGCCATGGGCCAGAGATGGAGCACTCCAGGGTAGTCTTCACCATTGAGGAATCTACTCCTGCTGCGGTCAAGGACTCTGACCTAATAAGGTAGGGATGAAAGTTTCAATCAGTGATCATAGGAGAAGAATCCCAGGAGTGGTAAAGTCTACAGATACACTTAATGGGTTTGGTTAACAATCACAGCATGCACTTAATGACAGTAGTGTTGACTTAATGACCGCTGCAAAAATGTTATAAAGTTGGGCACAGTCACATAGTGACCCACGTAGTGACGTCCATGACTTATGACAGTAATACCAGAAGACATGCTTAAGATACAGAAGGATCTTGACAAACTTGAACATTGGGCACTATTTAATAAAATGAAGTTCAATGGTGAAAAGAGTAAGAAAAACAAAATGCACAGGTACTGTATAGGTGGTACCTTGCTCAATAGTAGTAACTGTCGTGGCACGACATAACCGCGAACGTCAAAAGCGCGCCGACAAAACCGCGGCACTAAAACCGCGATGTCAACAGCGCGCCGACAACAGCGCNAGTCTGGGTCCTCATTTCACCCACCTCGGAAGGATGGAAGGCTGAGTCAACCTTGAGCCGGTGAGATTTGAACCGCTGAACTGCAGATAACAGTCAACTGAAGTGGCCTGCAGTACTGCACCCTAACCACTGCGCCACCTCGGCTCTTTTAAGCTCTTGGAAGTAGCTGAATGGCCACAATATCTTGCAAGAATGGGGTATAAAACTTATATAGTGTAGAACAGAATAGACTAGAATGGAATAGAATAACAGAGTTGGAAGGGACCTTGGAGGTCTTCTAGTCCAACCCCCTACTTAGGCAGAAAACTCTACACCACTTCAGACAAATGGTTGTCCAATCTTTTCTTAAAAACTTCCAGTGTTGGAACATTCAAAACTTCTGGAGGCAAGTCGTTCCACTGATTAATTGTTCTGACTGGTCAGGAAATTTCTTATTAGTTCTAGGTTGCTTCTCTCCTTGCTTAGTTTCCATCCATTACTTCTTGTCCTGCCCTCAGGCACTTTGGAGAATACCTAATCAAAGAGGTAATTACAGGTAGTCCTTGATTTACAACCATTATGATGGTACTGGAAAAAAAAACTTTAGATCGGTCCTGACAGTGATGATTATCACAGTGTCTCTGCGATAACATAATTAAAATGTGGGCATTTGAGGACTGGCATGTATTTACAACAATTGCAGCATCTCTGGGTCACATGATTGACATTTGTGGATTTTCCCGGTAGTCTTACGACAAGCAAAATCAACAGGGGAAGCCAGATTTGCTTAACAACCACTTGATTTTCTAAACCACCATGGCATAAAGGTTGTAAAATTGGGAAGGATTCATTTAAGACAGTGTTTCTCAACCTTGGCAACTTGAAGATGTCCGGACTTCAACTCCCAGAATTCGAATGCTGGCTGGGGGAATTCTGGGAGTTGAAGTCCGGACATCTTCAAGTTGCCAAAGTTGAGGAACTCTGATTTAAGAACATTCTCATTTAGAGATGTAAATTCGATCCTAATTGTGTTTGTAAATCGAAGGCTACCCTGTGATTACAGACAAGACAAAGAAGATAAGAGGAATCAATGGAGACAAAGAAATGGGTATTCTCAAACTCCAGTCAAGGATTAGCATCAGCTGATCTGGCTGATTGAGAACAAGCTGAATGTCCCAAAGGTGCTTTTTCAAGAGGCAGCTGGACTTTCTGGTTTTTCTTTGAAGACATTTCACTTTTCATCCAAGAAACTTCTTCAATGTCTTCAAAGAAAAAAACAGAAAGTCCAGCTGCCTCTTGAAAAAGCACCTTTGGGACAACCATGACCTGGATGACTGAGAATCTCCAGAGACAACAAGCTGAATCTCTGAAGTACTTGGAGATTTAAAAAAAATCCCTCCAGGAGGCCATTAGAAATTGGAAATCATACAGCTGTTAAGAACATATCTGTGTGATCACTGAGAGTCAGGTTCAACTTGAGGGAATCTTGACCTTTTAGAAGGGCAGGTGAATTGGAAAGGTGCAACATGAATATTGCAGTGTTTCTCATCCTTAATGTTAAGATGTGTGGACTTCAGCTCCCAGAATTCCCCAGCCAGGTTGGGAATCTTTGGATGGTAATGTTGGCTAGGAGATCCTCACCGCTGTTCTGTGTCAAGTCATCCAGAAAGTGCTGGCTTGTTGAAGACTAGAATACCTCCAAAGTCCCTTCCAACTCTGTTATTCTGTTAAAGGTGGCTAAGCATTAATACATGGGGTATAAGAAACAAACAGAATGAATTTACAATCCTACCAGTTGAATGAGAAGTACATCTAGCTTATTTCACAAAAATGCTTGGATGAAATTTGTGTTTGGACTATTGTTGTTGTTAGTTGCGAAGTCGTGTCCAACCCATCGCGACCCTGTGGACAATGTTCCTCCAAGCCTTCCTGTCTTCTACCATCCTCTGAAGTCCTTTTAACTTCACGCCTACTCCTTCGGTGACTCCATCCAGCCATCTCATTCTCTGTTGTCCCCTTCTTCTTTTGCCCTCCATCGTTCCCAGCATTAGGCTCTTCTCCAGTGAGTCCTTCCTTCTCATTAGGTGGCCAAAGTATTTGAGTTTCCTCTTCAGGATCTGGCCTTCTAAAGAGCAGTCAGGGTTGATCTCCTCTAGGACTGATCGATGTAATTGGATCGCCTTGCAGTCCAAGGGTCTCGCAGGAATCTTCTCCAGCACCAGAGTTCAAAGGCATCAATTTTTCAGCTCTCAGCCTTCCTTACGGTCCAACTTTCACAGCCACATATTGCAACTGGGAAAACCATAGTCTTGACTATACACACTTTTGTTGGCAGGGTGATGTCTCTGCTTTTTAGTATGCTGTCTGGATCTGCCAT